TTTGGCAACTTACAGAAACCCTTTTTCAAAAAAAAAAAAAAAAAAAAATACGAAAACACTGGGGATGTAGCTCAGTGAGAAGGCCCTGGGTTCTATCCCCAGAAACTAGCACACACACAATAAAGCACTGTTGTTTTATTGTGTGGTCTACATAAGAAATTAGCATTGTTCTCAATCATGTGACTCTTTTTTCCTGGTGAATTACCAATTCAGTGTTGCTCATGTGACCCAGACAGCAGGCCTCCTCCCTTACTGTGCTGCACCACATGACTTCCACAGGTGCCAGGTAACATCTTAGGCCCTGTAATGCTTACCACCTACCCATCTGTGCAGAGGCCTGTGATACATGGGCTCAGACTCTCTTGGAGACCAACATCCAAACATCACTGGATGACTGAATTGATGGGGGAATCAACAGGATACAAAGATGAATAGATGGTTGTATGGATAGGTGAACAAATGAACATGTGAATGGATAGTTGGATGACTGGGATCGATGGATGAATTTCTCTTAGGAGAAAGCAGGATTTTATAAATAGAACTATGTATTTCACATCCTTGTCTTTACCTAAAGTGAATTTCATATAACAGGCTTCCAAACATATTTTTTAATTTTAATAGAATCTTCCAGACAGCACTGACAGGATTACTGCCCTTGGATGCTACACATACCATGTAACATTCTTATGAAAATCTGGCAAAATCAGTGGGAGTGATTTGATAATGGCCTCCCAAAAATATTATACTTGGAGATTACTTTCTGAAAACTGCTGTCATCTGTAGCCTTTAAAATGTACTTTGAAATGTTACTGATTAATTATATGACAATATATACACACACACACCATATACATAAAATCTTTGAGGAATATGAAAGATGCTTAAGCAGGAGAGAAATAGTTTTATTTTCCTATTTAGTATCCACCTATCTCCCTTGGCTCCTGTGTTAAAGAGATAGCAACATAAACATAATTTAAGAAACAAATTTTCGTAAATATTTCTGTTCAAGTTTCAAAAAAACTCCCTTTCTTTCTAACCACCCAGCTAATCGCTTCTCGGCCTTTTGGCTAAGATCAAGTGTAGTATCTGACCACCCAGCTAAATCCACATGATGTGAAGGCTGTAACACCAAAGAAACTGTAAACTCTTACAATGAATGTGAGCCCCAAAAGAGCCCTCAGGAACATTCCCCACTGTCTTCATCTTCTACTCAAAACCATAAAGACCAGAAGAGGGGTGACCAGCCCATGGTTATGAAGGGTCTGGCTGACAGATCCCAATAACACAGGCTTTGGTCACCAGCTTTTCCATGATGGTAACACAGACCAGGACCTCCCCATTCACAATTACCACAATAAAATCCTTGAGATAATTAATTTATAAAGAGAAAAGGATTCTTTTGGCTCACAGTTTTGAAGGTTCTAGTCCATAATTGATTGGCTTGTTGCTTTTTGGACTGTGGTGAGGCAACGTGTCATGGCAGGAGCATATGCTAGAACAAAACTGTTCCCCTCTTGACCAGGAAGCAAAAGAAGAAAAGGAAGCGGCCAGAGTCCCTCTTAAGGACACGCCCCCAATGACCTAAGGACCTCCCACAAGACCCCACCTCCTGAAAGGTCCGTTATCACCTAGTAGCTCCCACTAGGGTCCAATCTATTAACAATGGACTTTTGGAGGACATATAAAATCTACACTAGAGCATACTTTCCAGGGAGCAGTCCCTGAAGGGCCTTCCTCTCAGGCCTTCTCTCAGGCTGTTCCTCTTCATGGCGGGGAAGGACCCCCTGAAGCCAGTCTCACCCTTTAAGGATCATGATTGGGTATCCAGACACCTGAGTTCCTTGACCAAACAGACCCAAGCTCACTTTCAGGACCCCAAGCAGGCCTCTTCGTGGATCTTTCCTGAGGGTGGACCATACCACCACTAGGTCTGAGAGGGAAACCTGTTCCCAGGAGGCCTGGAGCCCAGGATGACAGAGGATGGTGATGTTGAGTAGCTTCCCAGAGTGCCCCACCACCACCATCCCACACAGTCTTCAGAATAATGCCATTTCAATGAAATACTTTTCATGGTTGCAGCCAGAAGCATATTTTATTTACCAGTTCATTAGCTTGATTTAGAACTGTTAAATATTTAGATCTACAGGTTTCAACTTTTTGATCTCAGGACCCATTTACACTCTGAAAATTATTGAGAACCCCGAAGAGTTTTTGTGTGGGGGATATCTATCAATGTTCACATAACTATCATTTTAAACTGAGACATTTCACAAATATTTGTTCATTACCTAATTTTTAAAATAACACTAGGTGCTGGGAGCCCATTGCATCCTTATATAAGTAACATCTTTAATTTTTTAAAAAACCTAACTATATTTTCAAAAAAATAATGTAGTAAGAAGAGCGACATTGTTTGACAGTTTTGCAAATCTCTTTAATGCCTGAGTTAAGAGAAGACAACTGAGTTCCCATCTCTGCTTCTGCCTCCAGTCTGTTGGGATGTGTGGTTGAGCTAAAGCATAAGAAGAAACTGTGGGCTCCTGCAAGGGATACAATTAACAAAGAAAGGAATATTTTAATAAGCTTTTCAGGTAATTATGCATATCTTTACCTGAGCATACAACAGAATTCAATGAGTACTGCTCTCCTATGATCAGTTCCTAGGCCCAGAGGGAGAGAAGTGAGGCTCCTGTGCAAACCCCAGGAAGCTCTGGTTTTGTGGCTGTACAGGTGCCAGACCCATGCTTTGCTCCTTTGCCTTAATACCAGGCCTACTGCTTGCAAATTTGTGCACGGCTCCTTGAAAATTCACTCTTCTTTCTGATACTTTGTATCTTTCAAGTAAAATCTATATTCCATAACCAAGTGTACACATCTGTAATCTCAACACTCCTGGAGGCTGAGGTAAGAGGATCACAAGTTTAAGCCCAGTCCGGACAACTTAGCAACTTAGTGAGATCCTGTCTCAAAAAAAAAAAAAAAA